CCCCCCCCCCCCCCCCCCCCGGATTTGTGCACGGGCTGGGAGAGGATGCTCTGCACTCTACCCGGACTGCAGCAGCTGTTGTGTCCTATAGCCTTGGCAGCTGAGGACCCCCTCTGGCAAGCCTGGGGGTGGACAGGGGGCTGTGGGTTGGGAGAGGGGCACTGGCAGGGCTGGGGCAGGCTGTGAATTGGGAGTGAGGGACACTTGCATGGGCAGGGGCAGGGGCAGGGCACCAGCATATCAGGGGGGCTTAGTGCCACAAAACAGTGGTGGGAAAACAGCTGCAGTTGGGCTTGCATTCTGGTGAGCAAAGGGGGCAGGGGGAGCTCTGATTTTTCCATGATAAACCAAAATCAAATGCCAAAATATATAGGTATTTAGAATTTATTTTATTACAATGATCAAGAAACTGGTAGGCTTCCAAATTGCTTTAAAATTGTTAACATATTGTGTTCAACTGATACCTATAAGTATAATGGTGTTTCATTGTAATTGCAGAAAATCACAGATTTTGTTTTTAATAGGAGAATTTGGCATTTTTTATCAGATAATTTGGGATTTTTAAATGGGGAAAACCAGGATCCCTGGTGATCACTCTCCTATATGCTTTGCCTTTACTCTCACAATCTTTAATGTTACCAAAATTCATTCAGCTGACTTGAAAATTGATAGTGCAATGATTGTGAAGTGAACATTGTTAAAAACCTCCTGAGGAATGGGAGAGGGATTGGGTAAAATATCTGTAGTTTGTCTGAAAAAACCCCAGATGTTTTATTAAGTTGTTTTTAATGATTTTTTTGGAACCATCTCAGGTGTTCAGCTGCCCTCAATGAGAACTAGTGTCTTATGATTTATGGAAAAATTGAACTTCTTTTGTAGTTCAGTAACCAGAGGTTTAGAAATATGAGTAGTCAGTGAATGCAAATTCAGTTATTTCTTTCTTTCTTTCTTGCTTTCTTTCTTTCTTTCTTTCTTTCTTTCTTTCTTTCTTTTTCCCCTCTCTCTTTTCTAGGTTAATAATGCTTGTGGCCCGGAGGTGAAAGTAACTTGTCAGAACAACATCAGGAAGACCAGCAGACTGGAAGAGCATAGCTGCCCTTGCATCGATAAGGGCAGCTGGTGAGTGGAAAGCATGGAGGAAAGTGGGAATGAAAAGGTGAATCAGGCTCATGTTCTCTTCGACAGATTTGTCCAGGCCTCAACTTGTAAGGGAACTCTCAAAGCTTTCCAAGAACTCTGTGACTACTTAGAGCTAAAGCCCAAGGACTACCGTTCTTTCTATCACAAACTGAAGTCCAAGCTCAACTACTGGAAAGCCAAAGCCCTTTGGGCCAAGTTGGATAAGAGGGGCAGCCATAAAGACTACAAGAAGGGGAAAGCGTGCGCCAACACGAAGGTAAGAAAAATAGGCCTTTCCAGAACTTTCCCATAGAAGCCAGTACTGAGCTCTTGCCTAACTCAGTACTACAGCTTGCCTCCAGAATCTGCAGGAGAACTGAGGTTGAAGGAAACATCTGCTTTCCAGCTGGAGATGTTTGTGAGGGAGGCTGGGTAATATCACTCTTAAATGTGGTGAAAGACTGAGAGAATTCTGCAGCTGATTCTAGTTACAATTCAGTCATTAATGCTTTAGTAGCTGTGTTGGCTACCAAAGCAGCTTCTTTTCCACCAGACTTAACTGCCTAGCTGCATTTAAGTGAAACAGAGAGAACCTTGCAAATGAGTAGAATCCACAGAAGGGTCAGCCAAGCTAACTGCATTCTATGTCTTGGGTATTAATGATGTAGTCAAGTTAGAAATCTTCATTATAAGCCCTTGCTCTGGGACACCTATAAGCATTGTTTAAAAATATTTACCAGGCATCAGGGGCAGAAGTAACGCTGCCACCTAAAGGTGAATAGAAAATATTTGTTTAGAAATTTTTGCACATGTATTCCTTTAGCCTGTAATTTCTCATAGTTTCATAGTAGGTAGGGTCGGAAGGGACCTGAGCAGATCATCAAGTCCAAACCCCTGCCCTGGGTAGGAAAGAATGCTGGGGACAAATGACCCTGGCTACATGATTATCCAGCCTCTTTTTGAAGACCCCCAGGGTAGGAGCGAGCACCACTTCCCTTGGAAGTTGGTTCCAGATCGTAGCTGCCCTGACTGTGAAGTAGTGCGTCCTGATATCTAGCCTGAATCTACTCTCAGTCAACTTATGGCCATTATTCCTCGTTACTCCCAGTAGTGCTCGGGGGATGAGGGACTCCCCCATAGCCTGCTGGTCCCCCTTGGCCTGTTTGTAGACGGCCACCACATCCCCTCTCAGCCTTCTCTTGTGGAGGCTGAACAGGTTCAGATCCTGTAGTATCTGTGGATACATGACAAGATGTGGTTAGCCCTCCTGACCGCGTCCCCATATTAGCAGCCCATGTTCATTTTGGCACCAGTAATGACACCAAGATCCTTTTCTGCCTCTGTACTGACGAGAAGGGAGTTCCTCAGCCTGTAGGTTTGCTGCTGGTTCTTCCTCTCTAGGTGCAGTACCTTGCACTTGTCAGTATTGAAT